TGTGCTGTCTTATCTAGACTAGGGTGTCAAACTTGTTTGGTTCTGTGGGGTTTCCTGAGACCCAGACAAAAGCTGGTGACCAAAACCCCTGACTATGGAGGTGGGAAAAGAAAGCGTAGGGAGGTGAGTAGTTAGTTAGTTCACTTATTGTGAAACAATAAATGACATTCTAGAAACTTGTAATGAATTTTTAAAACTTTCAATGGTAAGGAAGTGTAAAAGTGGTCGGTTTTTTTCCTTAGCAAAAAAGGAAACAGGTTTTTTTTCCTTAGCATTTACTCCAAAGCCCCGAGGTCAGCCCAAACAGTGACAAAATTAAACAACACATACATAGCAACTATAAAAGACAAAAGTCAGTTTTTTAAATGCAGTTATGCTATGTAGGCAGCATGCCACTTCAAGCATTTTGGTGCTTGCATTTGGAGACATTACAGCAGATGGTTGCTAGGAGAAGCTTTTCTATTGTGTTGATTTTGGTTCTTCTCTCAGCAGAATAGCTCCTGCGGTGCTACATGGCTTAATGGTGGTGAAGGAAAAGGAGGCAGGAAGAGGTCAGGGGAAAGCATCAGGGCAAGGGGTCCCTGCCTGTAAAAGAAGTAGGAAGCAGAGAGAGAGAGGGAGAGTACATGTGTGAGGAAGCGAGCATGTACACACGTGTGTGTGCACACTGACTCCTCCAGGACTGAGGGGCAAGGCATGTAGCCTTCCTGCCCTTGCTGTGCTAACAGATGACACTATGATGCAATGAATGAGGCAGGCCGCCACCTATACAAGGGCATTCTTGGCTTCATGGAACATTTGACAATTTTTGACTGTGGTCATTATTTGAACAGTCAGTTGACTGGCTTTCCCAACTCTAGTCTGAATTAACACAACAGGGATGCCCACACACCAGTCTGTCTGTCTGTCTGCTCTTTTTCTCTCTCCCTCTGTCTGAGGCCTTGACCTTCTAAGGGTCCAAGAAAGCATACTTAGAATGCTGTTCTCCAAATGCTAGGTAACGTTTGTATCACGAACAAGAAAGTTTTCTGGTTTTAAAGGTTCACCTTTTATACTTACCTCCTTTCTCCATTTCTTCTGGCAAGTAGAATATACATAGTTTTATAAATGTAGGTATTGATATGCAGGATCACAGCAGTGGCTCACTGGGATTGTATACAATGGCCAGTATTCAAAAGCAAAGGCTGGCATAAATCCGAGAGTAAACAACAACATAATTCCAGGGGAAAAAAAATCTAAATTTTAACACTTTGTAAACCAAATAACACCACAGACACATATACACTTTCTTTTCTATGAGCAGACAGAGGTAGGTAGCTGTGTTGTCTTCTGTTTGACTTCAGACTAAGGTAGCAGTACACCTTGCTTTCTGCCTTTCTCTTCTAGTATAACTAAAGACTTTGCCCCTCACTCTCCATTTACAGGTGTCCTTTAAAAAAAATAAAAGGAAAAATTCCCATTGTGATCAATCTCCATGGTTTGTATCAATTACTTCCAGAGGTTTTTAAATCATTACTTCATGATCACAGAGATGGTTAGCCATGTTAGTCTTAAACCAGGTAGAAGAAAGGGAAGAGTGGCACCTAAAAGACTGACCAACTAATGAGGTCATACCTCTCTGAACCAGTCTCCAATGTGCCACCCTGCCCTACATCCTGTCTTAATTAGTTTTAAGTTCACTGCCTTTAATCTTATTGGCTGGCCCCCAGATTTTCTATAACAGGAAAGGGTAAATAGGAATGCTGGCCTGCCATGCCAACACACACACACACACACACACACACACACACCCCCCGAGTCTACATGAACGCCTTCATTAAGCTTCAGTAAAATCAATGGGACACATGGCTGTGCCCACATCACTCACAGGGTTAGAGCTTCAGGTGACAGATGCCTTGGTAAATCAGGAGACCTTCCCTATGCCTGTGTGTCATGTCAATTAGTCATCTCCTCTGTGAT